ATCTCACCTTTTATTCTCTCTGTTGTAAAATGCAGCCTTGTGTTTCATTATTTACCCGCTGCCTTTTGCAGGGTTCATTAGTGACATCATGCCTTCACTTTGCTTGCTTGCAGAAAAATGTAGAATGGGATGGTGCCTTCAGGTGCAGATATCATATGTACATTGTTTGCTTGCTTGCTTGCTTCCTTTTTAACATTGTGTTGTTTGTGTTATCGGCATGTTTCTTTTCTGCTCGTTTGTTTATGATGTGGGGAATGACTGTTGTCAGAAACTGAATGATGGGTCAGGTGCAGCATAAAAGTACATCCTCTCTATGCTGCACTTCTGAGCAGAGCTATGTTTAATGAAAGCTAATGCTTTCACCATGAATATGAATGCCTCACAAAGCACCTCTGACAAAAAGGATGGTACATTCCACTTGTAACTATAGGCTTGTTGCCTGTCAACCAGTAGTGTCACTCTGTCACAATCTTACAGAGAAAGAAAATATATTCATATTACCAAAGAATAATAATCTATAAAAAATCTATAAAAAATAGTAAATCAAAACTTGGCAGAGCAGGAAGATGATGGAGATATGTTTGAAAAAGTCTATTTATGAAATATTACATAAATGAAAGGTTATATTTCTGCTGTAATTATGTTTAAAACTTTCATATGTTTTATGGGACAAAATGTGCAGATTTGTACTCCTTTACTTTAAAAAAAAAAAGGTATCAGAGTCCAGTTTGTCAAGGTGCATATGAGCGCCCACAGCTACTGGCTGCTCCGTACATGTCCCCCTCCGTCCCTCACTGTGTTTGCATTGTTTTACCATTTTGCTTGGACTCTAGGTAATCGGAAATGGCACTGACCCCTCCTGATCCCACCGATTACCTACATGAAGCGTGAATGTGGTTAGGAATCACACATCAGGAGACGGCTTGTAATTATTTTTGCGATGCCATCAGCATGGATCAATCACTCAGGAAGGCTTCTCGTGGAATGCCGCTTGCAGCCATGTATGAAGCCAGCAGCAACCCTTTGTGACTGACAGCTTTGGTAATTAAGTGATTGTATAGACACCACTAACTGTTATGACAACATGGTCAGGCCCAGTCTGTATTTGCAACAAACTCAAATGAACATGTTCTCCAATTCTATAGAAATTCTCTCTGACCAAAGGAGAAAAAAACCAACATTTTGTGCCCTGATGGCAATGCCCCATCCAAAAGAATATAATGGCACAATAGTAAGTCCTCTCTTTGTAATAGTAAATAGTCGAGTGAAGACTTTGCTACCCAGGTCAAGCCCACATATATATAAACTAATCAGCACATTTCAAAGTAGCAGAGATGTACCTTAATAGTTTCTATAAATGTATTTCAAGGTCTACAGTGAATACATTTTCCTTATCATTTTTCAAAAAAATACTACCATTGATATATATATATATATATATATATATATATATATATATAGAGAGAGAGAGAGAGAGAGAGAGATGTGTGTACACATACAATTTGTCACAGTTATGGAGAACGGAAAAATCATCCTATGTATGACGAGACATATCTTTAAAAAATATCTATATATTGTATTGTATTTTTTTAATCTAAATTCTAAGGAACAGGACTGTTGAAATGTGAATAAAACACCAGTGGTGAATTTCAACTAAAATCTGACTTTTGAAAGGAATTTTGTGAACTAGATTAAAAAAAAACATCTGTCCCTGCCTTTTGATTCACACTCATGTCAAAACAAAGTTATATAATTTTGAGGGCAGATGTCAGAGTTCAACAAACTATTGGTGCAGTTGCACCAATGTTATTCACAATAGTTCAAATTATCAAGAATCCAATCAATTTACACCAACAATCTGCTTATAGTAAAGACATTTTTTGGGACACAAGTGAATTGGTTAAATGGGCTATAAATGTACCATATTTAGAGAAGAAATACACAAACACAAACTATATATATACGAAGGTCAAAACGTTCATCACCCCCAGGCCTTTCCATCCTTCCTAAATTTATCACAAAGCTAATTGTTTTAATCTTTGTCCCAGAGAGGATTTTTATTACCGCTCACGGACTATATGTCAAGATATCAACTTCGATGGGTCTGTTTAAATCCTCACATGCACACACATTGTTCTTGTAACAGCTGACATGATGGGGGCATCACTTGCTGTGTTGTTACTAATTTTGAGCAAAAAAAAGCAATTTGCCAGACACAATCCATCTGTGGTTGTCTGTTCATTCTCAAACGATTGAACTGTTGGTTTTATTCAAATCTTTGAACAAAAGAAAATCCACAAAATATAAATTTGTCTTTTGATGTATGCAACTACATAATGCTACTACTGGATATTTTTTTATTTAGTAGGGCTATTTCGACACAAGTTGAACAGTCACTGGTTTTAAATGTAACTTTGAACAAGCATAATTTAAAACCAGGGGGCACTGCTAATAGAAATTTGCCTTTTGGCTAAAATTGGGTAATTTACATTTTTTAAATGTTAATTAAAGTACATTGTCTTTCTCCAACACATAAAAGGTAATAAAAATAATGAAAAACAGGAAAGATAAATATCTATGCCATATTGTTTTAGTAACAATCACCCAAGGTGTGTCTTATTTACTAGATTTTTTTTTATATAAAAAGAGAATTAATTATTTTCGAATTTCTCTTTTGTTTAACGTGAAGGTTTTAACAAAATCCCTTGTTGTTTTTCTGTTGTGGTTTAACAATACACCTTTTACACATAAATTACTTACAGAAAATGTATTTTACACCAGGCTGCCTTGAAACAGTTTGTTTTTCGTATTGATCAAAAACTTTTGTAAAATTAAGGGGAGAAAAGCCCCCATTCTTTCTGTGCGCGTGCAGCGGCCCCGGCATCTTCCCACCCCTGCACCCTCGGTGACTGACAGTGTAAATGCGGGAATGTCTTTGTGTAAACGAGCTGCAACTGTGCAACCCACAAAGGTCGCCAGCGGTGAAGTGACAGCTTACACGCAAAGCCGCCAGAGAATCAATATGGTGCCAGCCACTGTTGCACCGTCCCATCATCGACCATCAACTGAGGCCAATAAGACAATACCTTAACTGGTAGTATTCAATTTACTCCTGCGGCGCCTTTAATCTAATAAAGAGATTTATTGAATCTCTTCGTGGTTGATGAGCACAACTCGGACACTGATTAACGTGTTTAACATTTTTTAAATCTAACATGTTGTATTTCGGGATCACGATTTGAGAAAAGCACTGATTACAAATTGTATATGGACAGGTTGTTCTAATTGGCCTTCCGCTGTCGGTATGATACTTTTTTATTTTTGGGCTGGTAGTGAAATTTTCTTTGGCAATCACTACGGATCTTCAGCGTTCGATGACTGTTTGGATTAACTGCGAGAGAGATATTTAGAGCTCTGCCACTAATTAAAGGGCAACTAAAATTTGTTCCTAATCGTCACCTCGTCTGAATAGGGATCCACTTTGTCGCCGCCTTGTGCTCAAACTCGGCCAGCAGCTCACGCGTGAGGAGGTGTTAACTCTAAAGACAAAATTTAATCTTAGTCTCTTTGTAAACCAACCCACTGTGACGTTTGTCTGAAAGATATTCAAGTTTAGCTTTGTGATATTGTACAGATTCCGGTAGAATTATGTTAAATAACACGATTTCAATTTAATTAAAATCAAATGAACGACTGAATAAATAACTGACGTATCAATACTTACTGGTAATTCGAGTAAACATGGAACATTGCAATTTCTTCTAAAAGGAGGAATTACATGGATATATATATCTTATCATAATATACTGAACAAACTATTAAGAAGTGTAACAACAACCAAAAAAAAGCCGATAAGGTAGCCTGTAAATGCAGTAAAAACGAATCTATGGCAAACCTAAATTGTGATTCCTGAATTTTCACCCGCCTTTCACATCAGCACCATCTGTCCTACCGATCTGCTGGAGAAAAAGAAAACGATGAATCGGGAGGTAATAACTAATCAATCCACAAATTCCGGAAAATGTCGCGATGCCTGAGGATAAGTCTTCTTTTTTTCGAGAAGAAGCCTAGTAGAAATTAGAGACGTCTGCCAGAGAAAAAAAAGAGCGGAGCATATGCAACTACTTTGACTCATATGAAGTGGCACGTCCCATCATCCGGAGAGCCTGCACTCCCACAACTGCAGCTTTCCTCAGCAGACACTTTGTCAGCCACACGCTTTTCCCTCCTCAACATCCTTCAGACATGCATCTGGAGCGAAAAAGTGCTGATTTTCTACTACCTTTGAACGCTCATTAACGCCTCATAATTACTTTACTAATTAGGGTGACATGGTTATTAACAAGATGTGCTGTCATGACAGTCACCACTACTCCTCCCCGCTCTTTAATATGTCAACCTTGAGGCTTTCAGAATATTTCCACACACGGATCAGATGACACTGCAGCCGGTCATCAAATGCAGCCGTGGGGCGCGGTTTTATTAAATTAAAATAAAGAAAAATCCATCCTTTTATACTATTGAAAACATATACAAATAATTACTTCAATAAATGTTGTCAATGCATATAATTTATCCAACCATGATCCCGATCTTTTTATTTTCAAATGTCTGTATGACTTTATAAAATGATTTAATGTTTTATTTTCCATTACTTTAAATGTAAAAAAGAAAGAAAGGGAATAATAAATACATTCGTATTATTTTCTTTTGCAGTTCGGATTTCTATGTTTTCTAAAAATAAAAAAGGGGGCCTTACATGAAATCTATGTTGTTTTCCTATTTTCATTTTTATAATTCAGTACTAAAATAAATAGAGCTGCAGCTCCATGTAAAGTCGGCGCGATGCTTGGCTTGATCTGTCCGAGATAAAGAAACAACTCGCTGATTGGTGAGGTGGAGGAGCCGGTCAGAAGGCAAGCCAATGGCGGTAGTGGGGGGTGGGGGGGTGTAGACTAGAGAGAAAACGGCGTCGAGTGTTTATCATAAAGGAGAAAATATTAATTCCCTCTTGCCGTGGGCCGTGACGTCAGTATAGGAAGTCATTGTAGAGCAACACTGGAGCGATTAACAGCAAAAAGGGGGAGCCTGATGTCGAGGAGTCAGCCTGATGTATATCTCTCTATACGCCTCAACTTTTAACTCAAAGTTCAACATCCAAACACAAAAACGGGACTAGGACTACGCTCTTTGCATTTTCACTGAATGTAACAAATTGGACCAAACAGGCTAGGCCGTGTAGGCTATGAACGTGGATTCTGTTGCTGTCCTGGGTTTATTTTTTGTTGCTTTTTGTACTTTGTTTACTAACTCTGACTGAATTTTGCTGACTTTCTTGATTTTCTATTATTTTTTTATTTTACTTTATTTTATTGCCGTGGGAGAAGAATATCACTGTTGTTATGAAGACTTCATCAGTCATTTCTTAACATGGAAGGATCCAGCGGGTCGAGTTTTGGGATAGACACTATTTTATCCAGCGCCTCTAACTCTGGTAACCCTGTGCTAATGAACGGAGATTTCCGGCTCGGTGACGGCAGGACAGCGGATTTCAGGAGCCAGGCAACACCGTCGCCATGCTCGGAGATAGACACTGTGGGAACTGCCCCCTCGTCCCCCATCTCTGTCACCATGGAGAACGCCGCTGATCCGCATGTGGTGCAGGACACCCTTCAGCATCACCACCATCACCACAGCCAGCCACAGAGTTTGGCGCTGTCGCCGCAGCATCAGCAGCAACCGCTGCTCGCCGGGGCCGGTTGCGCTCCGAGGACAGCAACCTCCTCATTTTTAATCAAAGACATTTTGGGCGACAGTAAACCTCTGGCCACCTGCGCACCTTACAGCACCAGTGTATCCTCACCCACGCCAAAACCAGAAAGTGCCACGGCTCCGGACGTCTTCAGGCCCAAGTTGGAGCAAGACGACAACAGAAGCAAGTTGGACAAAAGAGACGACATTCAAAGTGAAATTAAATGCAACGGTAAGAACGCATCAAATGTTGTTCAAGTTAGGATGTCACCAAATTTTTTATTTTTTCAAAATGTTTTTAAATGCAGTCTGGTCATACGAGAATAGAACAAAATTAAGACGGCAACAGTTGCAAACAAAAACATAATAATAATAATAATAATAATAATAATAATAATAATAATAATAAT